TTTTTTTCCTATGATCTATTTTATTTTCATTTATTTTAACAAATCGAACTACGTTGATAAAACCTACATAGTACATACCTATGGAAGAATACTTGAACAATTTGTCGTAAGTACAAAGTAATTATTACACACTAATACTTAAAAATATTGTGAAAAAAACTTCATGATAGTAATTCAGTATACAATATTGAATATAGTATAATGTCAAATGTCTTAATAGAATGTACATMAGACATGTATTGAAAACATAATATTGTTCAAAAAACATGTAGTATATGATATGTCTATTGGCTATTGCAGTATTGACTACATATACTTACTACTATATCAAAGAATTAAACGATTGAACTTTTTACAAAGTTTGCAGTCTTTTTCTTTTATAAATCAATAATTTATTTAAATTGAGAAAAACTGAGTAGCTTGTGAGTTGTCGCGGGTCTGGTTTTTCTATAAGGTCTAAAAAGTAAACATAAGTAAATAAAATTAGGATACCGATGGTTGTGACCGGTAGTATTTTTCAATACAAGTTAAATTACATTTTGCTTTTCATCATCAAAAAAAAAAAAAAAACTATTTTCATGCTTTATTATGTAAAAAAAAATTATAGTATTTAAAAAAAAAAAAAAAACTATTTTCATGTTGTATGTTTTTATTTTGAAAGATATATATGGAGTTTTATATATTTATTGAATACTGAAACATCTGAATCCAGATAAAAAGATCAAATAAAAGAGTACATAGATAAATAAGTCATAAAAAGGCGCATTTTTGTAATTGTAACATATTTTTTTAAATCCTTCCTTGATATAACTTATACTAAATTATTTAAAATCAACTGATCGGATTCATTCGGCGTAACAATTATCATATTAAATGTATTCGGTATTTTTYCATTGATGTTTTGATTGAMATGTAGTTTGTTGCAACAACAGGACATCTCAATTTTCATAAATTTAACAAGATAAATAAAAAATTGTTTACATTTTGCTAGAAATGTCCACTATAGAATCTATTAATATTGTTTATTTAGGTATKTGAAGTTTGATAGGCAATAGGAAATGATAATTACTAAAGATAAGACCTTAGTTTCTGTTTTATTCCAACTAGTGTAATTTATTAAACTCTAAAAGTTGATAACTGTCGTTGGAGTTATCTACAGTTATTTTGTCATAATATATGCAATATATTATTTATATCAGATTAAATGTTAGACAAATAATAAAAATACTATTTCAATTTAATAAGAAAAATGTTAATTAAGACTTTATTCAAAACTAATTTTACCAAGAAACTATTCACCTTATGCCRTCGATTCAAATAGGAAAAAAGCACCTTTGTTGGTCCTAAATTAGTTGTTGATCTAATGTTCTGATCTAATTATATGRGATAACTTGAGATATATTTTAAATACTTTTSTATAAAAAATACATTGTATAGCAGCGTCTCTACAGCAGTCACTTAAAAGACATATTAAATATGCCGTTAATTATTATATTACTAGAACTATGTATATAGGATTTAGTATTTTAGTCTATTGTAGATACGATAATCACATAATGCATGTAGGTGGGTACCTATAATTTTCAATAGAATCTATAACGGAAAAATAATTTARAGTGMTTGTTATGCTTATTTTATATAATTTTTATCCTAGTAAAAAGAAACAAATCATGACAAACATTAAAACGGGTTAACGGCGTTTTCAAGTTTAATTGATATAATTATTAATGTAATAAAGCCTTAGAGCCGCATTAGATAGAGCCATCATATAGGTGTATAGGTAAATTACCAATTAGTGATTTGATGCTATAATTATTATTGCATTTACAGTAAATTCTGTGACATTTACACGCGTTATTGCGTTAATGTATATACAATATACATGTTATAATATTATAATGTTATAACTTATAGGTATACGTGTACATATTACTATATATAACAACTGAACAAAATATCCGCTTTGCAATTATAAAACACATAAATAA